CTTGAGGAGGATTTCAAATGGATTTCATCTGTCAATAGGGGTGGTAGTTCTTGGTGTAGAGCTTGTGGATCTTTGAAAAATTCCTGAAAAGGGGCAGATACCACTATTTGCATTTTATTGGTGGAGAAACTGAGGCAGAACAACAACTGTTGCTGTCATGACTCTTAAATGCCAAGCCAGTCATCTTGTGTCTTCACCTCTAAAGGTGGTGGTCAATATTATCTCTGAATTTTAACTCTGATTTGAATTACCCTGAAAGATTTCTGCAGGGTAACTCTGTGTTACCCTGATTATTTTATACAGTGTTTTAAATGTTATTGGGAATTATTTATTTGCAGCAGAAAGGCTAAGTCAAGGTCTTCCATCATATTTAAACAGCATGTAACAACTTCTTCCCTTTATTTGTCCCCTCTACTGTTTGGTAGATAGGGCTTCAAAAGCATCAGGATTATCTGTTCGGTGTCTGCAGTAAGGACCCAGCACTATTTTACACCAGAGCAGGAGATTTTCATGATGGCCTCAGTCACTGTTCTTCCATGTACTCCTCTGAAATGTGTTAGTTGCTGCTCTGGATCTTGAAGGGAGCTGGATTCTAGTGTGTGGATTTTTCATGACAGTGAGGACTCTGGGGAAATAAAAAAAAAAAAGCGCTACGGTCTCCTCTGATTTGTGCCACTACTTGCTGTATTTGTTACAACAGACTTATCTTCGGGAGAACAGAGAGGCTACTTTGCAGACCCATTACCCACCTCTGCAGAAGCTGCAAAACAGGAGTTGGCATTTCACCAGGGGAGTTGATGTCTTCACTGAGTTCACCAAATGCAAGGTTTTCAGGGACAACCTCCTCAACCGGACATGTGGGGGTGAAATTCTTCATGTACGGTCTCTGTTTGAAGTTCTTCATTTTTTTTAAGCTTGTCAAGGAGTCAAACCATCTGTTTTTCATGTGGAATAATAATAAATCAAAAAAAAAAAAAAAGGTAGTGATATTTTTTTTCTATTATAAAAATATCTATTCTGCGCTTTCTTTGAGTTGGCTTACTGCTGAAACAGGCAAGGTTAAAAGCAAACATGTGCCACAGGCCTAGCCTTCCACCTCTGCTTGGTTCTGAGGAATCTGGATTTCATTTATGGGAGGTCAGAGCCTTTGCAAATCACTTACTGAGCACACACACGGTATTTTTACACTTGCAAAGTTGGCAGTTGGGTGTAAGGTTATTCCAGAAGGAGTCCAATATATATTTATTTCCCTATACAAGCTGGGAAGTGAAATGCTGTGGCCAGGAGTCCCTGTAAGATGCGTGAAGGCTGATCGTAGGGTTCTCTGTTGCTTTGTGTTCTGGACGTGGTCTTGTCTAAAGCTTTCTTATCTGTAATGGGAAATCAGCTGTGAAATGCTTGGAATTTATGAAATATAAACGACTTTCTGTGCAGATGCATAAGGAGATGCCATCGTGTTACCGAGCAAGGGTATATGATGCAGTGGAAAAACACACAGAAACCCTGTTAATGCTGCCAGAGCAGAGAACATGATGTTTTAGTACTCTAAGGTATCCAAAATTCTCCTAGTACTGCAGAAATAATAGTAATAATAATAAAGCTCTAAATAGATTTGACTGCATTTCTCAGTATTGTGCATTATATTACACAGAATATAGCAGAAGTACAGGACTCCTCAAGTCAGATTTGGGTAAGACAGCTTCCTGGTTAGAATAAATTTACCCAACAGCCTTGAACCTTTGAAACAAATGGCTGTTTTGATTCCAGTATCTACATTAGGCAAATTCTTCAGAATTACCAAGGCTTTTACTACCAAGGTATTATTTCGCCTCTTTTTATTCCCAAGCATTTTACATCCAGCTCCTTCAAGTGTCATTCCAACTGGGCCAGCAAAGGGCATGTATAGGACTGATCCCATATATTGACCTTGAAACAGCTCCCACTGGAAGACAATGAAAATGTTGCTGTTTATTTCAATGGAATTAGAACCAGGTCCTTAAGACCTAAGTAGGACTTACATGGTACTTGGGTTTTATGCTTGCTCTCTGCACAGGGGTGAATCTCATTCCAGCAGAATGCCACTGGAGTATAGCAAAAACTTAGCAGCGGTATAATCACCTAAGCCTGAAGGACATCCTTACTTGAAAAGTTTGTACTCTGCAGTGTACATTTACATTTATTTTATATGTATTTATAGGCACACCGACACATACATAAAAAATGTACATTTTGCCCATGAAAATGCTGTGCAAATTGCAGAGAACATTATATTATAATTAAAAAAACCCACACAACAGTTTCTGTTCCTCCTGAAAGAAAATCATTTCCATCTTTTCAGCTAATAAGGCTTTGAAGAATTTCATTAGTAGCACTATGTGCTATTTCAGTGCGTTTGCTCTTGACTGGTGATTACATCATTATCGTTAAATTTTGCTGTAATGTAACTTTCTATCTCCGTGGCTTATAAGACCATTAATCTGAAGGAATCGATCCCTGCCAGCCTTCTGCTTTGCTGCTACCTGTGTGCAAGAGACCAGCAGCCACGCACAGCCGTCCTCCCTATCCAGCCGCCTGGGTGGAACAGGTCACTCATTCAGATGTCACCATCTCACCAACGTGCCGAGCCGATGGATCAGCTCCTGTTGGCGCTCCCTGGTTGAGGTCAAGCCAGGCATGGCTAGCTGAGGTGGTATAGGGACAAAGTGAGTCGGGCCGCTTTTCAGCTGAAGCAAGTTAAGGAGCGTGAACCGGCCCATATTTGTTTGCAGTCAGGATGATGGTTGGAGTCGGTAACCTCTTTCGTCGCCACAGCGGGATTTGGGAGAGGATGTCCACACACAGCCTACTCCTACACGTATTTGCATTTTACGTGCTGACAAATGCCTGATGGCAGCAAAAGACTCCATTATCTAACTAACAGGAACAAATTGTGTATTTCAGTAGCTAGAATTAGGTTTATCAAGTTACATCATTACTTTCCATCTCAATGTAAGTAAAGACAGGCTCCTATCCCAAAGAAACTAAGTACCTTGGCTCAGATTGTGAACCCTTTTTTGTAGCAGTGAACTCATTTCAGCAACCCTATTGCTTTAAAAAGACTGATCCTCTGTATTTATGCAAAATTTGGTTTTAGCCACTATCCTGTATAGGAAGATGTCAAGTTTACACCCTGTTTTTTTTTCTGAATAAATTGTTTCTCTGAGCTGTTCGTTTTGTTTTTAACCATGCTTTTTGTTAGGCTCCCCGTAATATATGTTAGGATTCGCTTGCCAGATTGACTTCTCTGGACCTCTGCCTAGAAAGTGATTTGCCTGTCAAGATGCCAGGACGCTGTGGCTGAGTCAAGCTTTGTAGGGTATGCCCATTTCTTTCCTCCTGGGCATCTGTACCAAGTTCATTTTAAGCCCTGGGAGTCAACGACTTTCAGCCTACCGTAACTCCCACCAAAACTTGTTTGTGAATATGAACTGAAACTTATTTTTTTTTTAAGACTCTCGCCTTCATTACTACAAAGCAACTTCCCCATCACAAAACAGAATTCACCAAATAGTCTTCTTTCCTGTTCATTTTTTTCATTCATTCTTTCACATATGTGCATATATAGAAAAAGAGAGAGAGAAAAAATGCTCCAGTTCAGCCATAAAAAGACTGTCTGGAAACATGAAGTTCTAGAGCAACGCTGCAAATCTCTATTCATTCAAAATAGGGACCTAGAAGGAAAATCTCGCCTATTGCTCGTGACAGTCTTTCTTAGGCACCATTCCCCTCTTGATTTGTGAATTGCCAGACATAAGGTACTCAAAAGAATCCCACCGAAAATATTTCATCTTTGGTAATTTCTACACCTCCCTATTTTACATTGAAACATAACAATAATGAAGATTCATCTTCCTGTCCTTTTATCTGTGCCTCGCTCGCTTGCTTGTCTTTCCTCATTAGCTTTGATATCACAGTGCCATCTACTTGATCAACAGAGTCAGGTTATTTTCCTTAGCAAATAACTGCGGAGCTGTAACCCCGAGGAAATCAAAGGGCTGCTCGGTTCCTTAGCAAGTTCCCCTCTCCTCCACACCTCCCAGCCCTTTCAAAGCAGCGCTGCCCTTAGATGTGTGCCTTTGGGAGATGGCCCGGCTCTGAGCCTGTTTCACAGAGTGACACAAAGCCCTGGCTGGACAGTGACGGATCCACTGGTGCTGCGAGGACAATTCAAGCCCTGCTGACCTCTTCCCTCAGCATCCCCTCTCCTCTCTGGCAGGTGTTTGGTTTGAGAGCCGGCTCCCTCTCTGTAGGCAGAAAACGCGTCGGCCTTTTGTATGTGTAAACTAGGGCAGAGTCTTTGTTCGGAGTAAGAAAGCATCGCAGCAGTCGGAGGAGATGGATTGCATAGCCTGATAGGTTGAGCCATCCCTTCTGCAAAATATCCGCAGCCTAGCTTGAGCCCTGGCAGACATATGCTTTCTTAATTTCTCCTACAAATATTTAGATGAGAAACGCTATAGACAAGTCTAAAAGAAATTATCACTCTGCATCTGCTTCTAAAGACCTCTTTCTCTACAGGAATCACCAGTGTGGCAAGATCAACAGTAGGAGTGAAGGCGACACTGCCACACTAAATAACTTTTCCCCTATAGACAGGCTTTTTTCTCTTTTTGTACTATTGAAAGGTGTTTGAAGTTGTTTTTTTCTGTGTATATTTCAAAGTAATTTTGATTCATTCATTGTGAAGAATCAATGTGTAGACTCCAGTTTTGCCTGTCCTTAAGCCTTCCCTTTTTATTGCTTTTATCCTCACCCGTCACTCCATTCTTATCTTACCAGTATAGCTGCAAACAGGTAGGGTGTGCGTACTAGCACTTCCCAGTGCTCAAAGTCCTCTGGGGGCCTTATGTGTGAGTGCTCTTATCAAAGCCTCTACTTTTTGTCCCTCAGAAGACATCTTATGCTATGACTGGTGCACACAGGCAGAGCAACAAGAGATACAGGCTTGCTTTTGTACGCACCTCGGCTTCCTCATGCGGAGGTGGGGAGCTATAGAGACATCTGCGCTCTTTGCTGTCACACTCCACCTGTGAGGAGGGTAGGACAGCTTTCTGCAGCGGTACCGTGGTACCTTTCTGCTTCTCCACTGCCCATCAAGCGTCATTGCTTGACACGGGCAAAATTTGTGCTGGCCAGTGAAGTCACTCTGCAGCCGCATATGGAGACTCTCTTTTTCGCGTGGTGGCTGTGCTGGCCATTGCAGCGAGCAACCTTGAAAATGGCAGTCTGGTTGTCATTGCTGCAGGACTCCAGCAGCGGTCTGTGCCTCCAATCGAAGGGAACAGGCACGGGAGTCAACCCGCACCAGCGTTTTTCATATATGCTCTGGGATACTGAGTTATAAAGAAATCTTCTGTAACAGCTGTGAGGTATTACAAGAAAACAAATAACTGTTTGCTTACTTAATGGCCATCAGTCTTGATGGCGCTCCCGGTTCATTTATATCTCGGGACCGAGATAAAGGTTAGCATTGACCGTACAACAATAAGCTCTTATATGCGTCTAATACAGTTGCTTGGGAACACAATGGCAATATTGTCCATGTTGACACCAGCACCTGTTCTCTCTCTTAAGCAGGGTGGCTTCTGTGCAAATAACTCCTGTGTGAGTGCTTGCATCAACTGGATTCCAGTTTGCTTAGGAGAATTAAATGAGCACAACATACAGCAGTTAAAGAGATTTTCACGTTAATTGTCAAAAGAGCGTTTTGTCTGCATAGATGCCAAATATTCCCTCTTGTTGTACGGATTAGTGGCTTGGATACTGCTTGACCATCAGTTGTTACTGGGGCCAAAAGGGAGCAGGAATAATTTGGAAGTTGAGAGAGGGTTGCTCGTACTATCACAAGTGGCAGCTGAAGTCAAGTACTTCACAGGCAGTTCCGACTGTGCTTTCTGTGGCATTTTGTTATGGTCCAGGTAAAGTACAGTAAACAGTAATAAGAGTTTATAGGGATTTCTTGCTCAAATATGCTTCTGATTGTTGTTACATATTCCTCCTGGTTACTGCACTGGCATAACCCACTAGTGCAAAACAATCATTGGATTTGACGTGATGATGGATAAACCAAGATGTGTCTCAAACCGCCCTCCCTCCAGAGGGGATAGGGCAGCTACTGGTCCTGCATGCGTCCCCCTCACTTGGAGCATCACAGAAGAGATGCTATTTTCAGCCTTTTCCATGCTGAGTGGCACAGAGGAGATATTTTGAGGTTGCAGAAAGTACTCATCTGCATTTCCAAACTGCGGTGTAAGCTCGCTCTGGGCTCCTGGCTGCCTTAGAAGTAGTGCTGCTGGCTGAAGCCAGATAAACCACTGCAGGCACAAAGGCAGCAGCAAACCACAGCCGGCTTTCCCGTGGCTGCTCTCCTGCTTGACGAACACACACCTTTTCCCCCCCTGCCACTGAGTTGAGGAGGAAGAGGAAGACAATTTTTGCATGTGGGTAGATTGCTGTCGTAATAAACACCTGAACAAACGTTACTATATCCTATCTTGGCTGTAACTCTGCATATGTGGCAGAGAGGCTCCAAAGCCAAGAATTTTATAAAGTTTGTTCTTCCACCTCTACCCAGCCAAAATATATTCCCCAGTTCTCCCCCAGACCATCTTAATTTAAATAAATATAATGAGATCTCCTAAGAACGATGGGACCTGTGTCTTCTGAAAAACACGACACCATAAAATGCTGGCGAGGGGAAATACCTTCTCTGGGCAATGCTGGTTTACGCAACCGCCCGCCCTCACCCCCAGCTGCTCACAGGTGCCCCTGCATCATCCCCTGCCTCACGCTGCCACAACTGCTTGCCTAGCTGGGGGATGAACTAAACGGGAGCATAGATCCAGATGGAAAATAGCCCAGAGGAAAGGGAGGAGGGAGGGAGTTTTCAGCCAGATTGGTTCCCCCACCTCCTCTCAAATGCGGGTGTTTACACCTTGCAGCAATAGTGGGAACAAAATTACCCGAGGGAGAGGGGCAGTCAGGGTGGTGACTGTTTAAACCAGTTTTACCACCCTGTCTGAATGCGGAGCCATTGCTTTGGGAAAAAAAAACCCTCATGAAGTCCCCAGTGTAAGGGAATGGGGTGGTTGATTTCCCTCAACTCCCACCTTAATCTGTTTACTTGTTGCTGGGGCTCCAGTACTTGTCACAAGGGTGCCACTGGGTCAGTCCCTGCGTGCACCTCTCCCCACTGTCACCACTGCTCTGCCTTTCAAGGAACTTTTGTGGTCTGACTTGCAAAACAAAAAGAGTTTCTTAGGGAATATCAAAGGGGAGGTGAGACTAACACATGAATTGCCTACGTAATACGTGACTTCTCTGCGCGAGCACAAAGTCTTCCCAGTATCCCCCTCACTGCTTTATTCCTCTGCCAGGCTGTGTGTTTGGGCTGGACACTTTGTGCAGCACTGGCACGGGGCTGCAAATTGACGTAGTAAATTGCTTAACAGTTTCATAACCTTTTCCTTTCACTGCTGGGTAGAAACGAGGGGCTTTGATCAGAAGGTTGCATCACAGGACCAGCTTCTTAAAGAAAAATAGAAGTTGGAAATGAGGTTACACTACTACGTTGCGTCCCCGCTTGTTGTTCTTTACTACGCAGTCCTCCGGGGACCCAGTGTGGCAATGCTAAAGCAATGTGCTCTGCCAGCGTTTGTCAGAGGGATGTTAGTTCTGTCCCCCAGCAGATGCTGTGGCAATGAGCGTGCGTGTGAGTGACACCGATTAGGCTGCACCGCGGGGCTCCCGCCAGGCGTTTCCGAGAGCAGGGAGGGCGGCAGGGGGTGGGTATCGCAGCGGCGGCAGTGATTGCTGCTGATGGCTGTTGGGGCTCTTCCCAGGGTAAGTCCGGTCCAAGTTTAGATGCCAGCAGCTCCTGCTGTTTTAACATGAGCTTGATTAGACTGGTGCTACGGAGGACCACTAGACAGTGCCTGCATGCCAGAGGCCATTGCTAGCAGACAGGATAACAAGGTCTCTTCCAGGGGCTGATCCAGAGGTATTATGGGCAGGTGTTTTGCTGTCCACTTCCTTGGCCACTGGAGCACCGTGATTTGTTAGGACAGCCTCTGCAGGTCCTTGGCAGGCTTTTCTGTCGCTTCTCTGTGTATGGTGTAAAGCAGGACGCAGCCTGGTTTGAGACAAGCATTGTCTCCATGCTGCTTCCCACCTCCTGGAGGGCTTTTCATCACTCTCCCAGCCCTTTTCTTCCTTGTTCTGGGGGATCGGTCTCCCTTCAAACCCGTAGATCAGGAGTTTCCAGTCTGAAGGCTACACATCTCGGTGGGGTTGGGAGCTTGGCAGATGCAATTAGATACGCTGGGAGTTGGGATCCTGACCGGGCTGCGGGTTGGGCAGAAGCCCCGCGGAAGGAGAGGGAGCGAGGGTGAAGGGGGTGGCTGGACTCCCCTTCCCCTTTGCCTCACCCTCTGCTTCCCCACTGCCCCGGCAGCATGGTGGAGCGGGAAGGCATCCCAGGAAAGTGTGATGCTTGCCCACGGCAGGGACAGCTCAGGCCAAGCTGGGAGGATGCAACTCCGCTTCGGGGTGCCGGCACCCATGGCCCCACAGTGGGGTGAGGAGCATACCCTGCAGCGGGGAAAGGGCCGGTGAACGGCTGCGGCTCGGGGCTGGCTCCAAAACCGGCCCCGCCAGGCGTGCTTGCACATAAGGCAGGTGAATGCAAACACCGCCTGGGGCGTCAGCTTCCCGGGGGTGGAGCTGCTCCGGCACAGGTGGCAGGGCTGAGCCCGGGCCCTGGGGACCCTGGGGAGCCCTGCTCCAAAACTAAGCCCAAAGCAACCAGCCTTCAGCTGGGCAGCGAGTTCACCTCCCTAAAACCCAAGCTATCGCCCCCCTACCCTGCTGCCACTGCCACCACCACCACCAAGCAAGGCTGGCCATGGCGAGCACGGACTGTCCGGGGAAGGAAGGTGCTGGGGGCAGGAGGAGGAATTTGGCCCTGCTGAGGAACAAGCTGTACATGGGGGAGAGGAGAAGGACGGAACCCGTGGTGGAGAACACCACCGCTGCCGGGGAGCACAGCACCTTGAGGAGGAGTCAGTCCGACAGGACAGAGTACAGCCAGAAATTACAAGGTACCGGGGAAGCTTGTTTGTGCTCTGCTGCGAGGGATGCTCTGGGCTGGGGTGGTATCTCCACGCCCTCCAGGCTGCAGCCTTGGGGTAAAGAAGGGAATGGCAGTCTCTGCCCCCACGCACTCACAGTTGGAGCAAGAAATTGCCCCCTCTCACCCTTGGCACCCACTTCCAGGGTGTGAAACATTTCCCCTAATTTTTCTAAATAATGTCATGTAGACAGGATGCAAAATCGAAGGTTTTGGTGCGTTCCTGCGAAATCTGTATGCAACATGGATCTTTTTCGTTCGTCACCAGAGCACATTTGCAACGCAAACAGTAATGTGAAAATACGATGGTTCTATCTTATCTGTCTTTGGCTGGGCTGTCATACCAAGTGGGGTATATGCTAACTAATTAGAAGCATCAAGGGCAGTTTTTTCTCAGTTAAAAATACCAGGATCTATAATGTGTTTGTCTGTTGCTCAGATTGTATGAGCCTGAACTGAAGTACATCCAAATGCGTGTTTTGATGGATATGCTGATTCAAATTCTACCATTATCAAGAGGGTTTATTTTCAACTAACCAAATTGCATCTGGACCAGAAATTGGCAAATTATATCAATATTGGGCCTGTCAATCAAAAACTAAATGTGATGCCACAAATTGAGGAAAAGCATGAAGAATGTGTATGGCTGTTTCTGGGAGTGCTCTGGAACACAAACTTATGAATTTCTGTGGGTTTCCAGGGTCTTGAACAATAGGGTCCCATGACAAATGTGGGGTTTGAGTAGTATTATAATATAAGCATGTATTACTAATAGTGATATAAATGCCTAATGACAGTCACTCTTGTGGCAATAATCCTTTATGGGGAAATAAAATAGGAAAATACTTTGGGTTGCTGTATTATGGTTTTGATGCACTTAATTAGGAAGCAGCATTCCTTCAGAGAGATGATAAAAGCAGAAAATAAAATCATAAACCTGAAAAATAATAGGATTTCTATGGGGCCGCATGCACTGAAAACAACAGAGAGGTTCATCGATTATGCTGTTCCTTCCTCGTGATAGCTAATCAATGAGAAGATGAAAAATTGTCAGTTAAGCCAGGCACGTGCTGCAGGGATCTGGCGGGGGAGTTTCAGGGTACAAGCACAGATCGCTACGGCTGGGCAGGCAAGCTCCTGGCACACGTCCCACCAAACCAGTGCTTTTTTACTCGTGAAGGGGGTTGCCCAGGTGAGGTCAAGGTTATCAGACCGGTACCCAGCAAAAAGCGTGAGATCTTTCTGTTCCGTGTCAGGTGTATTCATGCCATGAACGTTCTCCTGTTTAAAATCAGGAGCAAAGGAGGCGGGGAAACCTAGGTAGTCATGGCAGAGCATGAGGTTATGTTTATGGCAGCAGTCCAAGGAGACAGTAAATCCAGCTTTACGGCTCCTGCCACCAGCTGAGACTGCCGCGGCCACCCATTGCAAAGCACTGGCCTGGTGTCGGCTCACTCTGCTTGCTCACGTTTGTTCAAGAAAAACAGTGAGGGGTTAACAAGGTACCTGCAGGCTTTATATTGGATTAGAAGTTGCCTGTCCTCAGAGTGAAAATACAAAGTCAGCAGAAATTCCCATGAAGTGTATTTACAGTCGCAATAGAAAGAAATGTGCTTGTGTGCCAAGGCCTGATCTGGATCAAATTTTGCTGAGCTAGATGTGCCTGGATCTGAGCATAACGATCGTGGATCCCAGACCTAATGTGTTACCTGCCAGCGCTGATGATGTGCAATGATTGTACGCCTTTATGTTCTTCATTTTTCTCACTAGCACTTGGACATGAAACAGCTTACTCCAAGGTGAGGGAAGTGGTTTTGTTGGCACAAAGTTTTTGAGTTCTCCATTCTTGGTAAGAAAACCCAACAGATCTGTTGGTGACATAAACAAACTGTCTGTTGTGTATCACCAGGTTGGGACTCTCCAGTCGCCCTAGAATGGTAAATGCTTTGCAAAAATATACAAATGGTAATAATTTGCACTTGCTTCCCGTATGAATTGGAGGAAAAGCTCTGTGTTTAGTTGCCCCTTCCTTCTATAGTCCCCTGTTAATATGTTTTCTAACAGACAGCTGGCAGAACTGTGGTTGGTGTTAGCACGGAAAAGGATGTGTAAGACAGGAGCAAACCCTGCAGAAGGGAATTCCTCATGAGCGGGACTGGGAAGCCAAGAGTCGGAGGCTAGAGGCCCCCTGCCTCTGCTAGTGGCAGGCAATCTAGGCAGAGCGCGGGGACCAAGCTGTCTTTACACTGCAATGCTTACCTCAGTGTTGCAGCGCGTTCGCACAAGGTGAGGCACGGGTGAGACGTCTCTCCAGGGCCCTTCCAGTCCTCTGCGTGCTTTATATGGTTCCTTGAGTAGAAACCAGGCTGTTGCCTCCCGAGCCATTTCCAGCAGCTCTGAAGTATATGCTCCAAGTGCAGCTCAGTGTACTAGAAATATAGGTCCCCAAATAAAAGCCTATGAACAAACAAACAACAAAAAAAACCAAACAACAAAACAACTGAGCAAGCAGTCAGGCATAGAAACTCCTGAGAATTCAGTTTCTGCTCTTGGATTTCTCTTAAGTTTTGCTATTTTATACAGAATCCAAAATGTTTGCTGTAAAGAGTCAGTGAGAAAGGGAGCCTACCACCCAGATCTCCGGGGTAATCAAGGTGGTTTGCTCTGTAAGTCTACAAACATGAGCACAATAGCATTGTCAAAGGTGCAAACCTCTGCAAGTGTTTTTCACTTTAAAATTAAGGATTCATTAAAAACACAAGAAAGCATTTTCATTGTTAATTATTATACTAGACACATCTATTCAGTACCTTATCTGGTGTGAATGGCCATGCAACACCTCCTGGCTTTACTCTTTTTAAAAAGGAAACAAGATGCAAAGTAACCATTATGTTCTCAGAGAGCTTGGCAGTAGCTAGTGCATCTATTTCAACTCATCCTGCCAGATAACCAAATGCCTGCAGCCCCGTTTTAGATAGGGGAAAATAGGGCGATTGCTATCAAATGTCAGGTTCGTGACGCAGCCATGCAGTCATCCAGAATTCAGTTGTAGTTGGACTACTCTTGGATGAGTCCAGAAATACCTCGATCAAGACATATACATATATTTCTTCCATAGTTCTCCATCAACTGAACAGAAGCATCACTTTTCTAAAGAAGGAAGAATGTGTTTAAGGAAGATGTATTCACTAGCATCTGTGGTGGATGCAGAAATAATATCATGGGTCATTATAAGAACTAAGACACAGCTCCTGTGATATTTCTATGCAGTGTTCTGCTCTACGTTCACTAGAAAATCCTGCATATACATCCTTTCAAGAGGAATGAAGAACTTGCTACTATCCTTCAGCAATGGCACAACATTGCAGCTCTCTTTTCAAATGTATTATATGTACCTGTTTAGTTGGTAGGAGTCGGTCTCTTTTCTACAGTGAAAATCCCGCAGTAGCAGCTGTAAAAGTAACATTATTAATATCTATGTATCGCATTAATGTTGGGAACACTCTTTAAATTAACCTAAAGCTACCATTCTGTGAGTACCTAAGTATTTTGGTAAGAAGAGTTTGCATGATGTAGTTATTGGCACATAAATATTTGCAAGGTCAGGGCAGATTAAGATACAGTGTATAGTGGGGATAGATGCTATCAACCAATACGGGCAGACCATGAAAAGGAAATTAAAACATAGTTCATCGTCTGCTAGGTTTTGGACAGATTGTTGGGTTTTGTTAATAATCATATACCAAACTTGTGCTTGGTGTGAAAAATGACCTATAGAAAATGGTGGGTTCCCAGAAGGAATCAGAGATTGCATTTGCAGTGTTCAGCGCAACAATACGTGTTTACGTGTTTTGAAAACACTCCTTGTCTTACAAATCTATTACATATTAACTCCCTTATAACTTTAGCTGTGAATGGGTCAGCTGCACTGTTAAATGATTTGCACATGCTTTAGTTTAAAATACATCAGTGACATACCTGTAGTAGAGACAGTGATTCAAATCACACAGCTACCACAATATGTTACCTCAGAGCTCGTATCTGAACCCTGAATTTCGCGTTTTGCTTGTGTCTGATGTAGTTGTGAGAAATAACCGACACCAGAAATGACGCAGAAACCTGCAAAATTATACAAATTCCTGGACAGCTGCTACCCCTTGATATACAAAAGTCCAGTCAGAGAGGCAACTCGTCCCTCCACTCCATCACAAGCAGGGCACCTTCCTCCACCCCATCCTCCTCCCTGCCTGCACAGCACACCGCTTCTCCCTGCGTGGGCTGCCCCTGCACGCAGCTTCTCGGCACCTCCCACCAGGAGTAAAGATCCTCCGCACCTCTCCCCAGTTCCTTATTTGCTTTGCGCTGTACTTACTGATTAACTTTCTATGGACTACAATGCAGATAATATCCTATTTCACTGCAAAAATGTATTGATCTTTGGAGCGGCTGGTTTGCTGAGGTAAGGAGTAAAAGTGCGGATTATTTCCTGAAGTGGAGGAGATGGCTTGATGAAAATACCCCCCTGTGCCCGGTGATGAGAAACCACAGTCTAACAAATACTTTTATTTTCTCCTGTGCAAATGTAAGCTCAGAGGATCTAATTCTGTTAACTTGCGCTGAAATAAAGCTGGAGTTATTCCTTGAACTTATTGCAGTGGCAGCCAGGCTGGGAAGCCAGCTCATCTTTTTCAGAACAGAATCCATTTTGTGCTGCTGTGTTTGCACAGCACTTAGCACAATCAAGTCCTGCCGTGTGGCTTAGGACTCTTAGGAGCTACTGCAGCATAACTAGTAAGAGCAACCAGGGTAAAGGAGTGAAGGCTGGGACCCAAGGAGGTTTACGGATCCTTCTCTGAGCATATTAGCAAATGTTTTATTAATTGGGATACTTAGTGTTGTGGGTCACACAGCTCACAGTGCCAAATCTTGAGGCGCATGTGTCCCAGGGGAAGCAGTTCAGACGCAGCCTTT